GGATAACAGCAGACTGGCTGTTCGTAAAATATACGACAGGTCTGGACCACTCGTAAATTTTGTTCGTATCTGAAAAAATTCTTAGAATACGAAAACATTGGTGAATGCCACAAATTGTCCTAAATCACTCGTACGCACAATTTAAGAACAAATCTGTGCGTACGAACGGTTCTTGCATGAGGCCCAATGTTTTTCTTTTATCTTTCTTTACTGATTTGATTATTAACATATATTGTTTGCCTATATAGTTTTGTTTTCCTTATCAGATATAAGTTATATTGTTAATTTTGTTTGATTTTGTTTATTTATTTGTTTTGACTCAGTCCTTTATTATTTGACTGAGCACCAGAAGCGGGACATTCGTCACCACTCTGAGGGTTTCTTTCTTTCTTTTATTTTTCTTCTGTTGGATAAAGAAGAGGGATGACGTTAACACCTCATATAAATAGTTACATACCCCACCGAACATTGACATTTGTACAATGGAGACATGCTGTTATTAACTGGAGGCAATATTCAGACTCGTCAGCAACATACAAACATGATGAAGTTCATTTTCAATGCATGGTATTGAAACATGTCATTATCTTGAAAGATACTGGTGAGGTGTTTTCTGTGTTTCCAGGAGGACACCAAGCTGATTCTGTTAAATGGACTTTGGACTCAAATTCTTGGACAGGACTCATAAATCTGTACAGGATCGACAGGACAAAGGAATTGGACTCTGATCGTGATTGCTCAACAATTTTTGCCACAGAAAAGACTGAATCCAGACACCATGGGTGACAGAAAAAATTAACATTGTTAAGAACTCGTCTACACTTTTTTGTGTTTATCATTTTGGTTTTTATTCTTTATGTCATATTATTTGTGGTCACAATCATTTTTTATGTGATACTCATTGTTTTAACTGTCATATTATGATCAACGTATGTAGTGAGCTGTCTCATGATAATATCTAACTCACTTTGTATTAATGCATGAATCACGTTAAATATGTCCTTAATAGCATAGGTAACAAACTGGGACGATATTGGCATTGAAAAGTCCCTAAAATTAGTTTATGGTAACTGTTAGTTTCAAACGGAGATTTCCTTCACAGATTGGCACGGAGTGAGGATTTCTCTGAGATCTGCAATCTTTTCCCCACCCCTGTTTCATGGGGAGGTTTTTCTGATCATAACGGATCATTTTGGGCAGACTTTAAAGAGCCAACCTTCAGATCCCCTGCAGTGATACAGGTTTTTAAATGAGAATGCATGGATTATTTGTCCATGTCAGTCATAGAGGTGTTTACAGTCAGGAGGCCTGGGGGTGTGGCTGATGTAGCCGAATTTGACCTTTTTAGTAAATTAGGCTTAGTTTACCTACTTTCAAAGTAAATTAAATGATGTGCGCTTAGGACATAAAATAGGATCCTAGCTAAATTAGACCACCTCTAAGTTGTAGACTAAAACGTGTCATTATTTGTTAATGGACAAATGATAATATAAAATAAAACTGAACAGCAAAGTTTTTGTGATTCAGTAGCAAAGGTGTTACCTTTTTTCTCATCTTACAGCCTATCGTTGGTTTATTTTCGGGACTAAAATTGTCCCGAAGTGGGGATTATGAAGTGTCTTAAGCTGAGGCCTTTTTCCCCATGTACTGTTTTCCTTTTAAGGCAAGGCTTGCACTAGCTGCAGAACTCGGCACAACTTACCATATTAGGAATGGAATGTTTAAGACATACTGTGACAAAATGTATGTCGCATCATTTGGGACTGCATTGTAACCTATAAAAGGGCCTGTACCCCTCTGCCTGGGGTCTTCTTTTTCTGGTTCCCATTTGGCACAGAAGGCCACAATTGGTTTTGGCTGTAAATCTCCTGGACCGCAAATAAAGATTCTGCTGTTCAACCAGCCTTGTTTCAGAGTTCTCTCTTCAGGACAACAAAATCCAGCTGCAGGACTGAGAAGACCTGTTCACTTCAGACTTTATATTGAATTAATTGTAAATTGGGGTTTCTAGTTATTTTAAATGCTTTTAAGCATATTTGAGACCACAACAAAGCTTCTTAGTGCATCTTTAACAGTTTCATTAATGAACTTAGTAAATGTTGGAGGAGTGGAATATGAAAATATGAATCAAACTCTTAAAATCTCATCAGTTTTCTGCTCTTTAACTGACTGAGACTCAGGAGGAAAGTGACAATCTGTGTTTCTCCTGATGTCCTCCTGGTTAATATTTAGAAACAATCATTTCAGTGAAGAAGAGAAAACTCATTTCCTGTGAAGTCTAAGTTCCGTTTAATGAGAGGAAGATGAATGAGGCAAACAGGAGGCAGGTGGATGAAGAGCAGAAACTAGAACTTCATTCATGAAGGAATGAAGAATCCAAAACTGTTCCACTAATAATCCTGGATTATCTAATCCCACTTTTATCAATCAGGCCCTGCTAATCTGAGCCTAACAAGAAAAGAAGTCAGCTGAAGAAGCAAAGCTGACTAAACTTAGAATAAAAGACAAGAAACACAAAGATTAAGGCTACAAATCTGTAGAAAGCTGCAAACTAGAAGGAAGCTTTGCTTTTTTTATTTATTTAACAGGAAAAGATTATTAAAAATCAAGCCTGACTCAGTATAATTGCTGTTTTACAGCAGGTTCCTGTTCTGCAGCACATAAAACACTCAATTACAGCATCACAATCACATCATTATTCATCATAGACACAAAGACAAACAAGCATACCAAATTTCAGGAAGGCAGCATTTGCAAAATAGGACGTCTAAATATGAGCACAACAAAAAGTGTCCAGCAGATGGCAGACAAGATTCTTCTTAAAGGGCTGTAGTTTTGAAATGGACTTTATGTTTTGAGGAATGTCATTCCATGCTTTAGTATAAACATAGAAGAAAGACCTCTGGCCATAACAGTTTTTAAAAGTTGGTAATATCAGTTGTCCTTTTGTAACAGATCTAGTTGAATGACCACTTCCAGAATTTGATTTGGGCAGCAATGCACAGAGAGTTCCATAACTGGCACCTTGGAAGATCTGAAAATATAACTGTTTGTGACATGAAGTTCCTGATAGCAGCCTGGCTGCTGCTTCTGGATCCTGGACTGAGATTGTTTTGCACACTGAACTTCACACACATGAGCTCTGAGCAGATCCTGGCGGTTTCTCACAGACACTAAATGCAGTATCATTGCAGCCATAATAATTCCAGGTCTTATGATCAACAGATACTTTTTCTATCACCATCTGCACACAGTCTTCATCTTCTTCATTTTCATTCCATGCATCTAGTTGTCCAGAAGACCAAAAACTCAAACTTAAAAAAGAAATAACAAGAAATGAAAATAATGAATAAAAAGTAAACTTCAACTTTGCCATTCTTCAGTGGGTGTAATTTTTTAATTAAAATAAAATGTTTCACATCATTCAAACCTTTCATTCAGAGGAGATCCGTCCACCCACAACCAGCTGCCTTCTGTCTCCAAGTCCGTCAGTCCGATCCAGAACCAGTCTTCAATACTGATCATCTTGTCTCTCAGTCTTCTCACCAGAAACTCCTGAGCAGTGAAAGAATATAATATCTCTGAGACTTTCCTGACAAGAAGAAACTTGATGAAGTGATGAAATGTGTGAGAACATGAACCTGCAGCAGTGTTTCATACCTGCTCCTCTCTGCTGTCGATCTTCACCAGGTCTCCTCCAACATCTCTGCAGAAACTTCTGCTCTCAGTCCAGTTGAGCTCATCAGGTGCTGAAATAATAACACTTTCCTCCATGAGACTCCCGGTGTCCTCCACACTGCAGATATGTCGGATCTTTAAAAC